TATTAGTTCTGACAGGTTTTCGGTGGAGTTTTTAGGGTTTTCTGTATATAATATCATGTTCTCTGCAAATAGTGACAGTTTTACTTCTTTTCCAATTTGGATGCCTTTTATCTCTTTTTCTTAACTAATTGCTGTATGACTCTCAGTGCTGTATTGAGTAAAAGTGGCAAGAATTCGGGCATCCTAGTCTTTTTCTGATCTTAGAGGAAAAACTTTCACCGTTGAGTATGATGTTAGCTGTGGGCTGGCTTCTCATATATGGCCTTTACTATGTTAAGATACATTCCCTTTATACACACTTTGTTGAGAGTTTTTATCATCAATGGGTGTTGAATTTTGTCAGATGCCTTTTCTGCATCTATTGAGCTGATCATATGATTTTTATCCTTCATTTTGTTAATGTGGTACATTACATTGACTGACTTGTGAACATTGAGCCATCCTTGCATCCCTGGAATAAATCCCACTTGATCATGGTGTATGATCCTTTTAATGTGTGCTAATATTTTGTTGAGGATTTTTGCATCTGTGTTCATCAGAGATATTGGCCTATAATTTTCTTTTCTTGTGGCATCTTTGGTTTTGGTATTGGGGTAATGCTGGCCTTGTAAAATAAGTTTGGAAGAATTCCCTCCTCTTCTGTCTTTTGGAAGAGTTTGAAAAAGATGGGTATTAACTCTTTGTTGAATGTTTGATAGAACTCTCCGGTGAAGCTGTCTGGTCCTAGACTTTTATTTGTTGAGAGGTTTTTGATGACCAATTCAATCTCCTTACTAGCAATTGGTCTGTTCAGATTTTCTGTTTCATCATGATTTAGTCTTGGTAGGCTGTATATTTCTGGGAGTTTATCCATTTCTTCTGTGTTGCCCAAGAAGAACACAAAAGATAATCCTATATATCTGTTAATGTGCTGTATGTACACACGAAAGGGAAAATGTTTCTGCTCCCTAAGAGCTAATTCTCTCCCCCTTTGGGGGCAATATTATCCCCGTTGAGAATGCATGATATAGGGCCTTATGGGTAATTTTAAGGAATTTGTATATTCCAGAGCACATTAGTTTCTTTTTTTTTTTTAGATTTATTTATTTATTTTAGTGGGGGAGGGGCAGAGGGAGAAGGGGAGAGAGTCCCTAGCAGACTCTGCGCTGAGCATGGAGCTTGATACGGGGCTTGATCCCACGACCCTGAGAACATGACCTGAGCCGAAACCAAGTCAGACGCCCAACCAACTGCGCCACCCAGATGCCCCTCCAGAGCGTATTTGAACTCAAAGTAGTTCAAGACACTAGCTCTATAAACTCCGCACCCAGGGTTCCCCCAGTGCCTGCCAGGCCATAGGTGTCCTATGGGAGAAGACGAAGGGGAGGCGGTGGGAGGATATGCTGGGGATTGTCCCAGCGGGCTCCATGAACCAGAGAGAAGCAGGGGCAGCATGGAGGAGCGTGGCCTCCCAGAGCTCCTGCCCCAGCCGGCGTCCGTGTGGGAATACAGCGGGTGTGAACGCCGGTTCCTGATGAGGCCTACGCTCCTGTCCCTTCCTGCCCCACCTGCCTCATTTCCTCCCCGTGCTAGTCTCTGTCAGGCACTGACCTCGTCACCCTCTCAACGCCCAGAAATGGCCTCCCTCCTCGTCAGAAGTGACACTGGGCTCTGTTCTTCGAGCAAACGCTGCTGAGGGCTACCCTGTGCCCTCCGGGTACAACTGGGATGCGAACTAGTGGGTGAAGCGGCCCAAGGACGGCCCCCTGCGTCCACTCCACACGGAGCTCAGCTTTCAGCCCAGAGTTCAGGCAAGGGTTCCCCGGGCTTCCCCCTGCCGTTCTTTCTCAGGCCCTCCTGGACTTTGTCCTCAGAGCTCTGGCCCTCCCTGCAATCAGATGCTTTGTGATCCTCTTATTGCTGTCTGTCTCGCCCACCAGCCTACAGGCGTCATGTGGACAGCCACGAATCCATGTGGCCTGCTGCATTCTCCCCCCAGCCCAGCAGCCACCAAACCCTAGGAACTCAATAAACCTTTGTGGGAAAACAAGTGGACGTGAGATCCAGGGTGTGGAGCTCAGAGGAAGTTTGAACTGATCAGGAGCAGCTTCTCAGCTAAGGAGAGAGGGGGCGGGTGCTTGAAGGACGCATTCAAGTGATAATGCGGGGATTCTCTTGGGGCAAGATGGATGCCTGGAACTCCTTCTAAGGAGCACAGCCAGGCCGTTCCCCGTTCCCCCGGAGCCTTTTTTGGGCCTCTTATCTCAGTGGCCTTGGGCAGTGGGGGAGGGAGATGCCAGACCATGGGCCAGAGCACACAGAGCACACTCCCCCGACTCTGGCCCTGGCATCTCAGGGTCATGGCCAGAGCCGCATGTGGACAGTGAGATGCTGCTTCCAGGCTCGGGCAAGCAACGATGATTCTTGTGCTTTCCCTTCTAAGAGCCTAGCTGCTAGGAGCCATTGTCAGAGAAACAAGGCTCCTGGGCGGGGGTTGGAAACTCCCCCTTTGCTTTCCCTGCATCGCTGCTTCCTGAGTCTGAGGAGCAGGGAGAAATCCAGCTCTCCCCATTTCTGCCCTCCCCTCCGGGAGGCCTCCTCTCATGCTCTGGAGGGGCATGGGGGGACACACAGGTGTTTCCAGGACTCAGCAGCATTGCAGCCTGTGGTCCCCAGGACTGTGTGTGCCCTCCACACCCCCTTGTCACTCACGCCCTTGGACCTCTGTCTCCCTCGGGGTTCTCCTGTCTCTGCATCTCCCTTCAGACTAGCCCAGGCTGGTCCCAGGCCCTCTTTAGGGCTGTCACCCTGACTTCAGCAAGATGGGGGTAGATGCTCTCTGCCCAGAGAAAACCATGATGCTGGTTATGGTAAGAATTGGGGGGAGGGCAGGCGGGCTCTTGGGACAAGGGCTGAGAGAGCCGAAGTGACCTCATGCCCTTTGCACCATGAGTCACACCGAATGGGTATTTTTTCTCCAGACAGCATGCCCTTCTATGCTTCTTGTGTTTCCCCAAACTCTCCAACTCCCTCCAAACCTGGGGCCCTTTCCCTGCATTTCTAACTGGTGAATAACTTCATACCTTTAAAAGAACTGGCTTGGGGTGCCCAGCTGGCTCAGTCCGTGGAGCACGTTAACACCCGATCTGGGTATTGTGAGTTTGAGCCCCACATTGGGCGTAGAGACTACTAAAAATAAATTTAAAAATTAAAAAATAAATGAAAGAACTGGCTCAAAACTAGAGGCCCCCCGACCCCACACTGTGCCACCGAAGGGTGTGACTTTTCTCTGGGTTCCACAGCCATTTGCATTAACCAAAGCATTTTCGTGTCTCCGGGTCATTTCTTTGCTTGACTGTGTTCACCGTTATTAGACTATGAGCTCCCTGGAGGCAGAGAACGAGCAGGTCTTTTTCATGTCTATAAAACTCCTAGCCCAGCCCAGTGCCTGGCACTTGGTAGGTGCTCCATGCTGGGGCCCTCGTGAAAGAGCATCCCAGGAGAGGCTCCATGGGAAAGATGGCCTCTGGGAAAGGCCTTGAAGGCTGTAGGGTTTCGACAGTGTCCCATACAGGAAGGGCCAGGGTGAGCTTTTCCTTTATGTGTTTGCTTGTTTGGTGTCTGTGTCCTCACGATAGAAAGGAAGCTCCGTAGGGACAGGGACATTGTCTTTTGTGTCCCCAAAGCTTGTGCAGTACCTAGCACAGAGTAAGCATCTGGTATCTATTTAGTGGATGAATGGATAAGGTTCTGCCAGAAAAGTCTTTGTGGAGAAGGTGGGGCTTGGGGGGTGGTCTTTGAAGGAAGCAAAGGAAGGAATTTCTGGATCCAGGAGAAGTGAATTTGAAATGAGGAAAAGTGGCTGGAGCAGGGACGAAGGAGGTTGCCAGGGAGGGAGCAGGGTAGACAGAATTGAGGGGGTCAGGGACACAGGCGTGATCCGGAGCAGGGCTCTGAGACAAAGGCTCAGGCACAGGAGCCCCGGCACATAGTAGGCCCTCCATGGCCTGAACAGGCACGTAGTAGGTCCTTTGTGACCTGAACAGCAGGAAGTGGTCGCCTTTACTGGGCATAGGCAGGACTGCACCTACAGGAGTGTGGCCCTCAGCGGGTGGCACCTGGACCAGCACACCAAGGACAGGGAGAAGGGGATGACCGAAGTCTCCCAGGTGTCCTGGTGTAAGGATGGAGATGCTGGCTGCTGAGTTAGGAAGAGAAATGGCAACAGCACTCTGAATCCGCTGTAAGTCTGATGAACAAGGCTGGCCCCCTAGAGGAAGAACGGCAAAGTAAACTAGTGCCTGAGGCTTTGGAGGCTTCCATTCAGCTCCAATCTATCACAAGAGAGGTCGTCTGGGATCTGAGAACCAAGACAGGCCTCTGTCCTGCACACCAGGCAAGGATGTTTGGGCCACGCATTGGCCAGCAGGGAAAGCAGGGCCGTCTAGCTGGGTGGCCCGTGCTGCCAACCAAGGGACACGTCTGCAAACCTGACTGGCAGACAGGGAGAAACATGGTATGCTCTTCTTATTTGCACTCAGCAAAAATTAGGAAGCACCTCAGTTTGCCAGGCTCTGTCCAGGGACAGTCACACACCTGCTGTGGCTAAGGCCTTGCGGCTATCCCGAAGCTACCTTGCTGCTTCCTTTTCCTTCGAGGGCATGTCTGTGTGTAAGGAGGGGTATGTTCCAGGAGGACCAACAGAGAATCTTGGATCAGAAGCAGAAACTCCCCCTGTGAGGAGGACCCACTCACCCCCAGGCCTCCCCATCCTCCCGCAGGGAAGGAGTCGTTCTTGCCGAGCATCTCCTAGTCGGCCTTGGATGGACTCTTAGAGGGCCGCCCACAGCAGGCCAGGCTGCCTGTCATCCACAGTGGATGCCTATCCACCTAAAAAATCCTAGGTTTTTTTTTTTTTTTTTTTACAGCTGAGCACACCGAGGCTCCCAGAAGGACTCCCCCAGAGCCACGCACTGAGCAAATGGGGGCAGGTTGCAAACTGCTATCTCCTGTCATTCCAGAAAACTCCACGGCCAGCGTGAGCGAGGCAGAAAGGAAGGCCCAAGTATACTACCGTGCATGTATGAACGAAACCAGGATCGAGGAGCTCAAGGCCAAGCCCCTGATGGAGCTGATTGAGAAGGTGAGTTCCTGGAGCCAGCTTTCCTGACTCTTTTCTGGCCTATGCCACCTGCCTGCCCCCCTCTCAGGAACCGCTGGGGCCGGGCCACCTCACACCCCCAGCCGCCTCACCCAGCTGGACTGTAGAACCTGTCCGGGCTGAGTGTGTCTGAGTGCCTGTGTGTGCGTGCTCACGTGCGTGCGCTCATGTGCCACACATCTCTGCAGGGGGGCATCTCTGTATTTGTGGGCGGTATGTGTCAGCATTGTTGTGGATGTCTGTCACGTGTGTGTGTGTGTCTGTGCATCTGTGTGTGGGATAAAGGCCATATTTACAGAGAAAATGTTTCTCTACCTTGCTGCTTCCTTTTCCTTCGAGGGCGTGTCTGTGTGTAAGGAGGGGTATGTTCCAGGGGGACCAACAGAGAATCTTGGATCAGAAGCAGAAACCCCCCCTGTGAGGAGGACCCACTCACCCCCAGGCCTCCCCATCCTCCCGCAGGGGAGGAGTCGTTCTTGCCGAGCATCTCCTAGTCGGCCTTGGATGGACTCTTGGGGGGCCGCCCACAGCAGGCCAGGCTGCCTGTCATCCACAGAGGGTGGCCGTGGATGTTTTCTGGCTGTCCCATGCTCCCTCAACGCCCCGCCTTGTAGCTTGGCTCTGGGAAGCCATCGCAGCAGGATCGGGAGCTGTGGGCACTGGGGATTGGACAGTCCTCCCGTCTGGCACAGGCTCCACCTGCCAGTGTGTGCCAAGCCAAGGAGACTGAGGAGATTATAGAAATCCCAGCCCTGGGGCGCTGGCTGCTCAGTCGGTAGAGCCTGCGACTCTTGATCTCGGGGTTATGAGTTTGAGCCCCACGTTGGGCGTGGAGCCTACTTGAAAAATAAATCCCAGCTCTGAGAGAAACTAGCGACCACTGTTTATCAACCTTTTATTTTTTTAATTTTTTAAAAAAAGATTTTATTTATTTGACAGAGAGAGTGAGCATATAAGCAGGGGGAGCGGCAGGCAGAGGGAGAAGGCGAAGCAGGCTCCCCGTTGAGCAAGGAGCCCGATTCGGGACTCAGTCCCAGGACCCTGGGATCATGACCTGAGCCGAAGGCAGACGCTTCACTGACTGAGCCACCCAGGCGCCCTTTTATCAATGTCTTAAAAAAAATACGGTGCTCCCATAAGCACAGTTGATTAATGCTTTAATAGAAATCATATCACATGATTCAGTGTGGGACCAGTGAACAGGGTACGGGAAAAGTCTCCTTCCCATCCCCATCCCCGAGAGCCGCTGCTATGTGGATTCCTTGGCTTGCTTGTTCAGGATCGGTCTCGCTCCAGGCAGCGTCTCCTGTGTGCCGGTCAGAAACTCTGATGAAGACCATCCCTTTCATTTGCTCTTGAGGCTCAGAGAGGTCAGATGACCGCTCCAGGGTCACAGAGCCGGTCAGCGGCAGGAGCGGAATTCACGCTGGGGTCTCCCTGCCACCTCACACTTCCCTCTCCCTCCCCACAGCTAGGGGGCTGGAACATCACCGGGCCCTGGGACAAAGACAACTTCCAGGACACTCTGCAGGTGGTCACCTCTCACTACCGCACCTCGCCCTTCTTCTCTGTCTATGTCAGTGCCGACTCCAAGAATTCCAACAGCAACGTGATCCAGGTGAGCCGGCCTGGAACCCTAGGAAGAGGAATGGGCATATTTTGAGTTTCCCCTCATGACCTGTTTTGAGTTTTGCAAGTGCCAGAGTAGGGGCAGACTTGCCCTGGGTGACAGTCTCCTAGTTTCTGAGCCTTGGTTATTTCTGGAGTCTCTGAACCATGAGATTTTTATAGGCGAGAAGTCATGAAACAGCAGGCCACTATTTTCAGGGGTGGGACGGGGGCGGGGGGGGGGCCGGGGTGGAGGGCATCGTACCAAACTGAAATGCTAGGGTTTTCCTAGAGGATCCTACACCCCAAAACTGCATGACA